TCACAGAGCACACTCCCTCTGTATCTGTCTCCAAAATTCCCACTTTATAAGGGCACCAGCGATGTTGGATTAAGGCCCACACGAATGACCCCATTTTGAGTTGATCACCTCTGTAAAGACACTATCTCTCAATTAGGCTACATATTCTGAGGTACTAGGGGTTAGGACTCCAAGATGGGAATTAGATAAGGTGAGACAATTTAACCCACAAAAGACAGTACTGTGAAGTTTTGGTAGAAAGGATCCCAGACACTACTTACTCTCTTCTCCAAAGTTGCTTGCAAAATAATGCCGTGTTAGTTTCATTATGGGCTTCCCAGGTAGTACTAGTCATAAAGAACTTGCCTCCCAACACTGGAGATGCAGCAGACCTGGATTTGCTCCCTCAGTCAGGAAGATCCCCTGGAGGAGGGCATGGCAACCCACCCCAGTACTCTTGCCTGGAAAATCCCATGGATAGAGGAGTATGGAGGGTACAGTCCATGGTTGCAAAGAGTCAGACACAACTGAAGTGAATTAGCATGCACGCAGTCTAATTATTCACTTTGAGCAACACTATGACTCCCTAAAATAAATACTTAAATGGCACTTTCACCAATGGAGATTGCTCTTAGAAGGAGCATCTGATTTTGTTAACCCAGACAGCTTCTATCAAGATGCAGTTAAAAAAATCCTGAATTTTACCTGGATCTCAACAGAAGAACAAGTAGAAATAAACAGAAACAGAAATACAGATGGCAAATAAAGGTATTAAAAATTTGGTAATCAAAAATGCAAGTTAGAACAAAATTCTTTTGACTACCAAATTGGCAGAACTTTCAAATCTTGTGGTGTTGGCAAGGGTACAGAATAGGGATCTGTTCACAAACTTCTCTGGGAGTGAGTTTCAACCAACTTCTTAATAGTAAAATCCAAACTGCCCCAAATTTAGACTGAGCACACTTGAAATGCTAAAATGCGTATTCCTGGGCTCCACTGCTGAGAGCATGAATCCATCCATCAGATATGGGATCCTGTGTCTTTGGGCTAGTATGGGTATCCTGATACAAGTTATCCCCGGGCCACACTTGGGGACAGTGTGCTCTAGACCGTGGGCGGAGCTGAGCAAATCATCTTAGCAATGGGACTGTGCAGGGCCTGCCAATTGAATGTCTTGTCCAATTAGGTTTAATTAATTGAGAGCAACATTTCAATGCTAAGACAAAAAGTACCAAGTCATACTTGCTACTGGTGGGCTTTGACGTTGGGTCACAAATAGTTCAGCTTTTACAATATTTATTCTCTTTGGCATAGCAAATCAACTTCTGAAAAAAAAAAAAATCTATCCCAAGGACATAATCAGGTTTTATTCAAAACATTGGTAGGATTACAGAAATTATTTAAGAGTGAGTTCTAAAAATAAGAAGAGGATGAAGCTACTCTTAATAACTTTTCCTTAAAATTCTGGCTCTCAGTAGGAGAACTTAAAAGGGAAGAGCACGCTTGCTTTGGTCCTCATATTCAGGCTTTGTTTTGCAAATGTTTTCTGGTTACCATGGCAACTTCTGGATTTCTCTGTGTAAATGGGAAATTGGGAACCTCGTCTTCTGAAAAAAAAAATGATTAGTGTGTTCTTTTTATCCTGGTAAGCTCATTGCGTGCTGACAAATTACATTCTGACAGCTCAGTTGTAATCTAAAACATGCCTCTCTGGAGACTCTGAATAATAAAGTATTTCCAGGGATTGACAGTTATTCTTCATTTATATTTTTATGTATTTGCTTTCAATGAATTCAAGAGATAAACTGAAGTGTTCCATACTTGCTGTGCTTTTTAAATAATTCAGAAATGTATCCTCACTTGAAAAATCTGACATGTGTCAATTTGATTACCGTGCTCATGAAAAACTGCCCCAAATTTAGACTGAGCACACTTGAAATGCTAAAATGCGTATTCCTGGGCTCCACTGCTGAGAGCATGAATCCATCCATCAGATATGGGATCCTGTGTCTTTGGGCTAGTATGGGTATCCTGATACAAGTTATCCCTGGGCCACACTTGGGGACAGTGTGCTCTAGACCGTGGGCGGAGCTGAGCAAATCATCTTAGCAATGGGACTGTGCAGGGCCTGCCAATTGAATGTCTTGTCCAATTAGGTTTAATTAATTGAGAGCAACATTTCAATGCTAAGACAAAAAGTACCAAGTCATACTTGCTACTGGTGGGCTTTGACGTTGGGTCACAAACAGTTCAGCTTTTACAATATTTATTCTCTTTGGCATAGCAAATCAACTTCTGAAAAAAAAAAAAATCTATCCCAAGGACATAATCAGGTTTTATTCAAAACATTGGTAGGATTACAGAAATTATTTAAGAGTGAGTTCTAAAAATAAGAAGAGGATGAAGCTACTCTTAATAACTTTTCCTTAAAATTCTGGCTCTCAGTAGGAGAACTTAAAAGGGAAGAGCACGCTTGCTTTGGTCCTCATATTCAGGCTTTGTTTTGCAAATGTTTTCTGGTTACCATGGCAACTTCTGGATTTCTCTGTGTAAATGGGAAATTGGGAACCTCGTCTTCTGAAAAAAAAAATGATTAGTGTGTTCTTTTTATCCTGGTAAGCTCATTGCGTGCTGACAAATTACATTCTGACAGCTCAGTTGTAATCTAAAACATGCCTCTCTGGAGACTCTGAATAATAAAGTATTTCCAGGGATTGACAGTTATTCTTCATTTATATTTTTATGTATTTGCTTTCAATGAATTCAAGAGATAAACTGAAGTGTTCCATACTTGCTGTGCTTTTTAAATAATTCAGAAATGTATCCTCACTTGAAAAATCTGACATGTGTCAATTTGATTACCGTGCTCATGAACTGTGGTGTAAGGAAAGAACATAAGCTTCTGAAATGGTCAGACTTGGAGCCGAAGCCCAGTTCTGCCACCTACGAGCAGTGCGACCTTGGGCAAGCAGTCTAACTCTTTGAGCCTTCGTTTCCATCTATAAAATGAGAGTCAGAAATAATACACACAAGTATTCACAACAGTGACAAGTCTACTGAGTAGGCTCTTGATAGAACATGGTAGTTATTACCAAAGAAAAAAATAATAAAAGCAAGCACAGAAACATCCAAAACCTATTAGACTTGGTTTAAAAGCAATCAGGTTTCACACAGGAAAAAAAATGAATAAAATTTTAAAGTAATGTACAACCAGCATTATTAGAATTGGACTTCTCCAGGTTTCAGCTATGTGTACTATTATGAAACACTCAACAGTAAATAATAGGAAACAACTGTCAGAATTTTCTAAGATGGTAGAACAGAAAAGCTTATACAAAGGCAGCTCAAGGTCCTCAAAACTTTACACAACCATAATCTGAAAAGATGCAGTTGGCTGAAGTTAGAGGCATAACTTTGAAAGCGCAAATGGCCAAGCTTCTTTGCTAACAGGGGTTGTGGTGAACCAGGGTCAGGAGCCCTCCCTGACCCATTCAAGGTGAAGGGATGGAATCGTGAGGACAAGGCCTAGACTCCTCAGGGATGAGTCACTTTAGGAAGACGGTCAACAAAGAGGCAGGGGTAGGTTTCGCCTCATGTTTTCCAGAAGCATTTATGATCTACCATTTTTCTTTTTCATACTCCGTTGGAGGGCAGGACCCATTTATAGTCTGTACCTCTCAGTTTGCTGTTGATTAAACTATGTATGGAGGAGGAGGATTTTTAGTGAAGCATGTTAAATCTTTCATTATTATACTCCCTACTTCTTAATCTGCCTTTATTTCTCTTTCTTCAATTACTGTGACAAATGAGCACGATGGATGACTGCATGGGCAAAATGCTGAAACAATACACAGATGCAAAACACTGTAAACAACAGAAAATATTCTGAAATTAAAAACTAGGCACAGCTCTCTTTAAGTGAAAATAATAATTTAAGGGTCCTTAAATCCATATTATATGTGGCACCTAAAATCAACATTTTTAAGCTAGTCTGTTGAAAAGTACTGATGCAGAACCAGTAAAACAACGTGAAACTAAGGGCCCAGCACAATGACAGAGGTCATCACCATGCGTTCACTACCTGATTTCCCATTTATCTATCTTGTATTTAAGGTGGTACATCCCAAGGGGTAAAAATGGGGCAGAAAGAAAGTCACTTGAGGGAGACTTTCTCAGACTACTTTTCCTCCCAGCTTATCAGCTCTTCTACTGTTGTTCATCAGAGACAAGGTAGAACACAGAACTCAGGGAGCCTGGTTTAAAAAGGGAAGTGCCTGTGATCACAGTGAGCTGTTCACCCGAATCATCAGTAGCACTCCTTAATTCCTTTCAGTGCAGCGGTGGCTGAATGAGACTTTTGTGACCTTCCATCTCCAATCAGTAACTGCTTGAGGCCCATGACCCAGCTGGGTCAATCCTGTCTCCGGCCTATGGTTCCAAGGCAAAATATAGGTGACCAGTTAGGTGTGAATGTCAGATTAGCAACAAATAGCTTTTAGCACAAGTATATCCCCAATACTGCACTAAAGCATACTTCTACCACACACCATGGCGGAGTTCCTGGATCTGCCAAGAGCTGCAAACGCATAGAGCACTTCCTATGTTCTATGTGTTACTCTAAATTCTTCATTAATTCTCTAAACCCATGAAAATCCATGGATAGGTAAACAAATGCCAGTATATGGATGACTGGAGGTTAGGAAGAATAAGCTATGTAATTTTAAGTTTCAAAAATTATGCAAAAATTCCTATCATGAAGACGTCTGATGAGTTCTCATGGGCTGGCGGCAAATCAATTTGTATAAAATTTAAAAATACAAAATTAAAAGAGACTAGATTTTAGTCCCTGCTCACTAACTAGCTAGAAGACCTTGAGAAAGTCTCCTCAATTCTCTGGTTCTAGGTTTCCTTTTCCTAAAAGATGGGATTTAGGTGAGATTATTTTTAAAGTCATTGCTGGCCCCCAGATTCCATTATATCTTACAGTGTGCAAACACAGCTTGCAGAGAAAAGCTTATTACCTCTGCAATCATTCTGTTGGTGTCACCCAAGAAAAGCAGATTCAGGGCTTCTTCCTCTGTGGTCGCCTGATGAAGAGACAAGTTTTTCAGGTGGATGTTCTGATCAGGGTCCTCCAGGACTGTCACTTTCCTAGGGAAAAAGGAAACAACAACACAAGGCACTTTGAGAAGGAAAAGAATTTCAAGTCTTTCTTACAGGTTTCTTTTTTAAAGGCCATATGTATGACGCCTTGAATTTATAAAATCAAAAAGTACACAGGACACTAGACAGTACTGGATTAGCATCCATACCGACATTCCCTTGACAGTACTACCAAAGAGCTTTGGGGCTGAAAAGTACATTACAAGCTCCTAATTCAAAGGCAGCTTTTTTGGGGAATCATCAGATCCCCAAAGCATATTGGGAAATGCATATTCTTATTGCATTTAAAACGCCTTCTACCTATGTCAGGAAACTTGGCTATGCCTTTTTTTGCCATGTCATAATTCAGTTTCTTACGTTAGGTGGTACTGATTTTTCTCCTTCTAATTTTTCCCTTTTGTTCAATTTCATATCACTTCAGTCTATGTGACATTTCAAACTGGTTAGCTCACCAATTTAAACACGATGAAAATGGAGGCATTTGTCATCCCTCTAGGAGTTATTCCCTGGTTTTCTTATCAGGGTGAGTTAAAAATTCTCAAGAAGTCTTATAGTAAAATCCTAGTTTATAATTATTATTTTTATGTCCATCAGATATGCTTTTTGACCTTTCTTCTTTTACAGCATCACTTTTCCTTCCATTGAATCCGTAGGTTTGGAATTGCATTCATTTATTAAAACTCCTCAAGAGACATTTTGGTGCCAACACTGTTTCGTCCCATGTGAATCTTAACACTGTCTCAACAGCTGACTTGTGAAAACTCTCCTCAGAGTCCTGTTAGGACTTCTGGCAACTTCTGAAACATAATTTGGCTAAATTCCTAATAGACTTCTTTCAAAGGACTACAAATTCAAGCAACAGAATTACTAAAGAGAGTTCCCTTCTACCTCTTGAGTTTTGCCTTCGTGATCATTTTAATAATTGTTGAAGAAAGAAAAACTGTAATTTACAAGTGTTGCCAAGTGTCTCTCCAGGTATCTGCATTTGCTTACAACAGCAGAATTGATGACAGTAGGTCAATGTTGGCATCATCTAGCACTATGCCTTCCTTCAAAGTACAACTAGCAAGTGGACATATGTCACTTGCCTACTGACAAAAATACACTTAGAAAACTTTAAAAATGAAGATTTTGCAAAGACCATAATTTTTCAGCCTTCCCTTTTGTAAGGGGACTATCTGGATTTTCATATGTAATTTGTGGGCACTTAAAATACTAATTGCAGGAAGAAAGTGTAGTTTTTCCAGCCCATCTGTGACCAATATGTCACTAATAATGCAGCTTGTTGCCAAGTTTTGGGCTTCTTTTTGTCTCCTTCAATAATACCAATAAGATGGAAAAGGATCTCTTCCCTTAATGGAAACAAGTGTATTTTATTTATTTTTCAACAAGGCTCATAAGTCAGCTTATTAAAAATGCTTAAGAGTTAAAAAAATGCTTGGAAAATATGAAGGCATTTTTAAACTGAAATAGATGAATTGTGCTCTATTTTTAGGAACCCTCTTTATTCCTTAAGCTTTATTTCCACTGTGATTCTTCTGAAATGCTTGAGAAGGTTTGGTAAATGCAATCCCTAGGGATACAAAAGTCAGAATTCTTCTTAAATCTACAGATTCTACATCTTAAAGGTGAAAGAAGTTAAGTAATATGGGAAGGAAGATAAAAGCATGAAATGAGTGATATGACAGAACATCAGAAGTGAGAAAAGAAGAGAGTTCTGTCTTTTTCAACATGAAGAAGAAAACAAGTTCTTCAACTCTGAGGCAAAGTCACCTGCAATACATGTTGTAAGACCAAGTCAGATACAAAACCATCCTGTGCAAGATCAGAAAAGGGGGAGATGAGGGAGCAGAAACTGATTCAAAGAGGAGGATGCTCACACTCCCTGGGCACTGAAAGTCCCCTTTAATCCAGTTATTCTCACCCTGGCTGCATATAGGACCAGCCTTCAGAATGTAAATAAAACAACATATCAGCACCAGGTGTCCTCTTAAAAGATTCTGATTTGAATATTCTGGAGTGCGGACTGGGTACCAGAGTCTGTAAAGGCTCCAGTGATTCTACTGTGCAGCCAAGATTGAGAGTTACTGACTTCATCTTTAATGACCATACAAGGTGGACATATGGGAAGATTTCTGGTTTCTTTATAGCTACTTTCCACCCAGCTCCACCTAAGCCCAAAGAGGAGAGTTACTCATCTTACTGGTTGAAGTCACTTTGGGTCATAAATCTACTAACAGGCAAGGTCCCTGTGAATTTTACAAAGCTTGTCCTTCCACAGGAAGTTTCCTTTTTCTACCTCCCTGACCATGTCACTGATGGGTAAACTAAGCCACCCATTAACCACAGCAATAACTAATGCTCAACTGTGGATTATGGATCTTCCTGGACATCCACAGGGTTTATATCATGGCTGAATCAAAAAATATAAATGTAATATCATACATAATCTCCTCACCATTACCTCATTGAAATTTTTTAAAAAATGCAGAAAACCAGCATGTACAGAATTCTAAAAGTGTTCAACCTTTTAGATAACCTGAATGGCTCATTGATTTAAATTACACTTACAAAGAATAGCTAGACACATAACAGAGGATGCATGGAATGTCATCATCGGCATTTGGCTAAATCACTCAGAGCCTCTGATCTGCAATGTATTATGCTTCTACATTTACTTCCGGGTGCCTGTCCAGCTATGTCACTTTGATCACAATTTGCATGTGCTTCAATTTTTCTGCATAGAAATCTCAGTCGTCTTTTATAACTCACCACCATGTATTTCTCTGACTGTTTTCTGATTCTTCACTTGAGCTTAGCCAAAAGGATGAGAAGCAATTCTTTTCTGGTTCTGTTTCCCTCACTGTTTGCTTATTTTTGCCCACTGAGGTTTTGAAAAGTAAATAAAAAGACAGGTTGGTGTCCAGTTTAGTTTGGCTTCTCTCAGGGTTCTCTCCCTGCTCCGGGCTCATCTGTGGGCACCCTTTAATAAGAAGGCTCTGCCTCTGGCATCTTTCTGGAATCTTCTGTGGTGCAACTTTCTCCAATCAGGGTCTCCCTTGCCAGTTCTTGTCCTCAGATTCTTTCCTGGTTTCTGCCCAATCCCTTGGGCATGAGGCTTTGGACTTTCCCTTATTGCCCTGCCTGCTCTTATTGAAAATTCCTTTTGCACTCACCCTCACAACCCATGTGTCAGTCCCACCCACTCTTACACTTTGCTCAGAGAAGCACGGCCTGAGCTGGGGGTACTTCCTCTTACCTAAACTGGTTAATCTGGTGGTGAGGATGTTTTAAACTCTGCTGTTGGTGGAGAATTTTCAAAGTCAGAGGAAATAAGAACCATTAGCAAAAGTTTCTTATTAAGTTGCTTCCTTCCCTGCCCCCCAACCCCAACTCCCCAGCTCTCTCACAAATCAATAGCTATTTCCTGAATCCTTAGTCCACTACTCCATTCTGGCTATAATTTTCATAGCTTGAAAGAGGGCTTTATTGGAGTTTCTTAAATAAACATCTTAATTCCAAGATGGAAACCCCCCAAACTATTTATTTGATTCTCTTTGAAAGGGCCTGTGAATAGTTTTCTCTACAAAATGTTTCTAAAATGTTTAGATTTTGAGCAAGAAGTCACTGATAGCCTTAACTTGGACCCCTAAGTGGAAAAGTTCTGCTAAGTACACTCAGCCTGCTTAATGATGGGGAAGAAGCAAGCTTTGTGTTTTCTCTGTAAACAGAGAATCTTTTCCATTTGGCTAAGTAGTTGGAATTTTTAGGCTTTCTAACTGACTGGAAGACATATAAGGAGCAATGGCCAAGCTCTTGTTCCCAATAATGGAAGCCATCAATGGGAGAACCCTCCCCACTGTCCATCCCACCTCCACGACATTCCAGTACCACCAACTCGCTGAACAGGGACTTTCCAGGAGTTATTACCATGAATCTGGTTTCTCACTTTCATGTGATAGACAAACACTGGTGATTTCTTTTTTCTTTTTCCTTCTTTTTACTTGCAAGGGCCCCACGTATTGGTACAGCCATGCACTATACAATGGCACCATGTTCAAGATGTTGCAATCCACATCATGTGCCTGAAGATTTATTATGACATAAGTTGGTCATGGGCAGCTAACTGTCTTCTAAAAAAACCAATATATTACAACAATTTTCCAACAGATTAAAAGACAGGGGTACCTTTTAATAATCACATGAAGGTGCCATACAGACGAGAGGCAGCCCTGTCTAGGCACCTTGACTTTGAACAGTATCAATATCAAGAGCAGGTGGGCCTCATAAAAATGGGAGGTTATCCATGAGGCTCTTCTAAATAACTGAAAGTATCTCACATGTTGTAAACACAGCCCTGCTATTCATTTCAGTAAAGAGAAAATCCTATAGTTTAGTGTTTTTCTACCTCCTTCCCCCTCATCCTACTCCAACCCATTTTCAGAAGCTCTCTACAGGAAAGATTTGGGGGAAGGGAGGATATAAATTTGGTAGACTTTCTTCAAATTGATTAAAAATCTCAAATATTTCTTCTGTTATAAAATATAAATAGTTGAAACATATCACTTAAGAAAGTTTTACGAATGTGCAATAAATTTTTCTGTTGGTCTTAACCTAGATAGATTGGGCTAAAAGGATACTTTTTCTATTTAACCACTATTAAGATATTTTGAAAACTCTTCCTAGTATTTTGAAAAAGATATCTTTTCTTTCTTGTTTTATCTAATATTATATCTTCTTACTGAAAAGGAAAAATATAGCCAATCACATGACACTTTAGGTTGAGTTATTTATTTTAGCCTACAAAGACACCAGGTTTTCAACCAAAGATTTAAGGAAAATGTTAAACCAACTATCTACAATCTCATTCAAAACAGAGAAGCAGAGGAAATACTTCCTAACTCATACTATGAGGCCAGCATTACACTTATACCAAAACCAGACAAAGACATAATGAGTAAAGACAACTCTAGACCATATCTCTCATG